AGTTGGATTTTGTCTGTTTTCTCCATAAAAATTCTTTTGAGTAAACTTATGTTCAAAATCAGAATTTGAAATCAAGTGCAATATCACCCTTTACATTTTGTAAACCCCATTCAGAAATACTTGAACCCTTGGACTTTCTCTCAGAGGGAAACTATTAAACAGAGAGAAAAAAATTGTTGCATCTGTTGAGAAGGATGGAAGGCTCATTTCATTGACATACTTGTGTATTTTAAATCACAGATGATACTAATCAAAGCTTCAAAAGAAATCTCCCAAGTCTTAAAAATTATCAATGGCTAGGGACTTCAAACTTTGTAAAATTATCTTCTAGTTTTAAAGCTGGGGTATATACAACAGGATATCTTGTAGGCTGGCTGGCTCTTAAGTCACCCAGTGAATGTAGTATTTACAATACTGATCTAATGATCAATATAAAACTGCAAATTTTTAAACGTAAAATGTAATGGCAGTATGAATTCTTCAAAATGAACATTTCCTATTTTTATTTTGGTGTATCTGCAGTCTTTGTCTATTTGAATGAAAAATCAAGATCCCCTGGCCTTCCATTTCAATAATGAAAGAAATGGTATTTGTTGATTTTACCACAAAGTCAGAGATTTATTTTTACCACTAAGGGAAGGGTTTTTTAATTTCTCTTTTTACTCTTACCAATGTTGTCACTATCACAGGTGTTGTACTATTATTGTCATTTCTCAGTTGATTTGGGAAAGAACTGTAAGAGGTCTTATTAACTAATTAACAGTTTTGCTGTTAAAATTATCATGATATGTCTCTCTGTTAATATTTTCATTACGGTCATCATTATCATCATAATTTATTTTTATTATTATTATTATCATTGATTAGTATTAATTATTAATTTATTTTTTGCTGAAATTAATTTTGGGGAATTTTTTGCAGAGTCATGTGGTGAAACAGTTGAGACAAGAGCTGATGAACAAGACAGAGTTTAGAGGAGAGGTAAATTTAGATACTAGTAACATGTTGTTTAAACTTTACCAGACATCAGTTGTTTATAGTTATATCCAGCGCCATGTCAAAATGTTCAGCACTTTATTTCTGTTAAGTATATGCTTCGAAGTAGAGGCTGTGACTCCAGCTGTTTTAATGTAAACAAATTTTCAGCGCTCAGTTACTCTTCACAAATGAAGTAGTTTGTTGCTAACATGACTCTTTAGATGTCTGGAGTAAGAAACACATAAAATGAAAAATGGTTAAAAATAAAATTAATAGGAATTTGTCGTATTACATCTGTGTGATTGTGTTGTGGAGAGGCTCTAAGTTTCTCCACTGTTTCCAGATCAAATTGAAAGTTAGAAGTTTAAAACACATTTTAGAGATTTTGTGTTTGAAAGAATTGTGCTATTATGTACAACTAATAATGGGTAGCCAAGGACATTTAATAGAAGATCAGTTTCTTGGAATACAGCCATGTTGTGACCATTTTTTCCCAATTAGCCACAGTTCAGTTCAATATAATCTGATGGTGCCAGCTGATGCAGAACAAGGGCATAAGCCATATACTGAAACTGTGAAACTTACAAAAGAAGGGTGTTTATTGCTTCTAAGGGTGCTTAAGGGAGCTCAGTCTTGATATTTTGGAGTTATTTTGGGCACAAAAAATAACCATTAAATTGAAGGAAGCCTCAGCTGAAAATAATAGTTTACTTAAGAGAGAAAAACATTAATAAATAGTAATAAACAATACAGAAATGATGGAGAAGATTGACACAGATTACATGTACAAACAACGAACTTGAAAAATTTAGCTTAGACTTTTCAAGATGCTCAAATTGTGATTTAGTTCCTTTAATTTAAGGGGTGCATTATTATTTAATTAAAGGTGAGCACTTATTGAAAGGAGGCCTTACATTGACTTACATGCTTATTCTTTCAATCCTATTTTCAGGAGAATAATATCAAGTCACCTCTTAGTGATAACCATTCAAACAATATAACATCACATGACAACAAAGAAGCTGTTTTTCCAACAAGTAAACCACTTGTCAAACTAGAGCCAACAACCAAAATGGAGCTGGCAATCAAAACAGAACCTTTGGATGTTAAACCTGTAAAAATTGCTCCTCCGCAAAAGCCACTACCAATCCAGCTTCCTAGACTCAAACCCAAACCACCTCCTGTAGTTATCGTTTCTCCACAGGTATGCCATTTCTTTTTCTGCAACCAGAATTTTTTGCACTTTGATTAAAGTGCTAAAATATGTACTCCGGCCATCATAATTCATCAGATTTCTCACTAGAATTCCATAGTTCAAAGCAAGATCACTTTTTGACAAAAAAAGTTGAATGCTAAAACAGATACTAATAGTTATCTACTGGAATACCGTAAACTGCTGCTTATAAGCCCTGAGCCTATGCATCTTTGTAGTGGGATTTGAATGGGGTCATAAACAGAGGGGTTTATATCTGGGGAGGGTTATAAATGGAAAAAAAAATTTTTCCGAAATAATTTAACGCAGTGTTGCTCAAAATATGATTTTCATATACTAGTTTTCAGTTAAGCTTTAAAGCATCGATAATAAGTCGAATTCATTTTACTTGAAACTAGAGGGGGGCTTATATCCAAGCGGACTTATACCTGAGGGAACTTATTATCAGAAGTAATTTTCTGTTTACAGGTAGATGGCCCTAGAGCTAACCAGAGGGGCTGAAAAGCGGGAGGCCTCATAAGCAGCAGTGTACAGTTTTAGAAACATGTAGCACTTAGGTATTAGCTAGAACTTATACTTATTAGTAGCATTCTATTCTTCAAGGGGAAAAGTCCTATTGCCAGGCCTTTGAAGTCTACTTAAATTGAGTACCAGTAATTCAAAAAACCTGCATGACATAGTTTTTCAAGTGAAATGTCAAGCTACATGGAAAACAGTTTCCTCTCTTATAAGTAATGTTTAGTTCCAGAAAATAGCTATACCTCCTCCACGGAAGGGATTTTCTCTAGCACCTGTCCACCCCCTCTGGAAATTCCAGTTAAGCTTCATACATTTCTTTAAATTTNGAAATTGTAATCCAATTGAGCTTCAATACATACATTTCTTTCAAAATGTTTTGGTCTGACAGAATGCCCACCCCCAGGAAATTCCAAACCCCTCTGTGGGGGGAGTATGGACATTTTCTGAAACCGCACAATAAACAAAAAATTCATGTATTTGTAAATGTTATATATTTACACATAGATTTTCTTTTACTACAGCATGGAAAAATTGAGTTTACTGGTCAAAGTGCTGCACCAGCATTACAAATGGGTCCTGTATTTTCTCCTGTCCACACACAGTCATCGATAACAAGCCCCATCAGTATTCCAACACACTATCAGCAGAATAACAAACCCCGAAACAGTGCATTTAGAAACAGTGCACGCTCATTTACATCTCATCATCTGCAACCAATACTGCCACGTCCAGCTTCTCAAAATGTGTTTATACAGCCACAAGAGGTCACTAGCAAACCTATGGAAAAGGCTTTTGAACCCAAAGTATGTATAGCATTATCAAGTGCCAAATACAGTTTTGCTAATTTATTGTCAGTGATGTTTTGACATACCCACTTATAATTATTTTGTTGTCAAAAGTCAAGTAAAGTACGTGAGGTAACCAGGGCTGTACTCTAGAAGCACCCGGATGCCACAGGTGACTAACTTTTGGCTTTGGGCAGCTGGAAAAACTTGATTGTTTTCATATAAGCTCAAGTGCTGGGCAACCAGGATTTCATGGTTAGGAACCTTTGAGATCCTCGTAATTTTTCTTAGACCAAAGACTTTGTAACCATGCAACAGTCCCTAGCAATTTGTTGTTAGCAATTTGTGCATCAGGCACTAAGTGTTTCAAAGCTGATGATTAACAGTTAATAAAGGTTAATATTTTTGTCTTAATCTTTAGAAAATGGAATTCATGGCTGCTTTGGGGCTAATTACACCACAGACACTAATCGGTAAGAGAGATGAATTCAAAAATTGAACACATGGTTTGGTCTGATGCAACGACATGAGTTGTAAATGATTCTGTCATGAAATCAGCCATGTTCTATGAAATGCTTTTTTCTTTGCCATACATGTATATTCTGGCCTCTTTGTCTTTCCAATTAGGGGTTCAAGAGGCATTTTACACTGTTTTAAGGAACAATCTAGTACGAGTAATGCAATGCCCAATCTGATTTTTTTGCTTCCTTCCATTGTTTGTTTGTTGTATTATTATTCAGCTATTTAAAACATCCTTAAAACAAAAGCAGAAAAATAGTTTTTAAGAGATCTTAGTTTTCATGCACAGTAGGCATACTTCTAAACTTTAGCTTATGGTGCAGTTTTCAGTGGAGAGAGTAATCCCAGATATACATGTACATGTATGTAGAACAGGTGTAGGTATTTTACAATTCTGTGTGCTTTCAAAAAGCATACTTTTATTTGAGACCATTTTGACTCCAAAAATTCCAATAAACTGGACAGATATTTCCTAATTTAATGGATCAATTTATTGATACATGTACGTGAGACCTATCAGGCTACTGTGTCAGTGTCACAGTGGTTTTCAACCAGCTGTGTTTACTAAAATGGTTACGTGGAGACTCCAGTGTTTGGCTATTTTCTGATATGCTGATTAAAGGTTTTCTGAGAAAAGAGCTTTTGTTTGCAGCTAAAAACAGTGGTTGTATTCTTGATAACTTATCTGATGTGTATACAGTGAGGCCATATCTTTTTCTTTTATTTTTTTTTACTGTTTACTAGCTCTACAACAACTAAATGCTTGCATCTTGATAAATATGTACCTAGTGTGAATGCCTGTATCGAGGATTTGTTTTCTTAAATTAAATAATCTCTGCACAGTTGTAAAAAACTAAAGTTTACTTATATTAAAGCAATACAGCATATTCTGACGTCATGGTCAAAAGAAGGAGAACATTAATATGCAGACATCAAGAAAATTCACTGACGCATGACAAAACGTAGTGAATAACCTCGGTGATATTAGCTCTGTTGTCGCATGCAATGTCTTCCTTTGCATTGTCAACATTGTTGGTTGATAAGACAGTGATACACTTCCTGTAGTTTTGATACACAAAAACATTAAGCTACCTGTGGATTGTTTCAAATTCCTCTCTGGAAATCAAGGATATGCAATACAGCTAAGCTAGCTTGAGACTCAAGGTAATGAATCAAGACCTGAATGCAACGTTAAGGAAAAAAATTGTTTGAGTTGGTTTCCACTCCTGTTTGTGTAGGTGGGCAAAGTCTGGCCAATAATATGTTACAAGTTATTCTGTTTTAAATGTGTAGATTAAGATTTTTTCTTTCTATGTGTGGCATTTCATGTACTAAGATTTCAACAGGGAAAATATTGCTTTCATTGTTCCATCCATGTATTGAAAGTGTCTTGAAAATGAAAATTAATGTTATGTAAATCTTCTTGAATAGACTACCAAACAATTATTATCAAACTGTGAAATAATTATTACAAGTATTAAGGGTTTTAAGCATATACTTTAAACTTTGCGAGTGTTCTTTGCTAGAAGACAATGTTGTTCTTGCTGGAACTCTTGTCTCATCTTTCCTAGTGAGTCAAGCTTGTTTGATCACGGAGTTATTAGATTCACTGTTAATAGCATAATTTAATGACTCAGTATCAAATTGCATACACATTTCGCTTGCCATCCTGAAGAGTTAAATACTGAAGGTTAGTTCTTTTGTCAACCATCACAGATCTTGAGCATTTATGTTTACAAGATGCAAGTATACTTATATTGATATCTTGGTTGATCGTGCCTCATTATGCAGGGATATACTAACAGTATTTGTGATAAATGACAGTCTGTTGACAACATTAAATGTCAAGACAATCATTGATTTCTGTTCCTTTTCATTCCCAACAGAAATTCAGCTCAAGAGACAAGAACGGAAAAGAAGGAGCACTTGTATTTCTCCACAGAATGCACTGGATATTGACCCAGAGGTGATTTGAACTGTGAACAGTTTTAAACCTGCAATTGTACTGTGACTTTGTGTAGTTTGTTAATTCAGTTTTAGGGAATGTAACTAGCAATAAATCAGGGCTTGAAAAAAACTTGAATTCCAGCTTGCCCTCCAGACAAGCAGCTCTAAAATTTTGCTTGCCTGGGCAAGTCTTAGTTTACTTTTTTTAAAATTTAGTTTGCAGATGCAAGACTGCAAATAATTTTTGTCTATAAGCAGGTCATTTGTCAGCCAAGAACAAGTTTTGACCTGACAAAAAGCCAGTCTGGTCGGACAAACTTTTTTTTGTCATTAGAAATTAAAAATAAGCGACATTTGAGACATTTGGTATTTGAGTGTGGACCCTTCACCAAAATGTTGGTTGCAAATTTGAATGGCTTAAAAGTAAAGTCAACTGATTGTAAAATCGATACTAGCACCAGAAAGGGGACCCTTACATTTAGTCAGGTATTACAATATTTTACCCATTAAACATTGACAAATTTACAAACGTTTGTACCCCTAGTTTGCCTTCACTCACTTGATCACAGGTGTATTCCGTATTTTCCCGCGTAACAAGTTTCCCACAATGTTGAAGGAAAACAGCTGGAAAATCCCACATGGACAGCTTGTCAGTATAAAAACTCACAATAATATTCAGAGACTTGAAAATTGGCTGAAATGAATTCTTCGACTTTTTCTGAAGGCAAGTTTCCCCAGAAAATTTTTGGGGTCAATTGAATAAAAAATTTGCATAATTAGATGAAATTCGAATTGGAAGTGGCCGTGACTTCAAAGCACGACTAATTTGTCCATTTACGCTTTTAACAAAAACATGTCCGTGGTACGGAAACTAATTCAAACTATGTTGAACTACAGATGTGAAAAAAACTTTTAAGAGCTATAAAACTGATTTTTGATCATATGGACTAGAAAAACATTTGGTCACATTTTAGGTGTTTTAAAGGTTTTCAGAAAGCAATTGAATTCAGATAAACAAAAATTTGGACCTTGTATCCAATTTGCATAATATTTTAATCGGGTCAAATTACGACTGAAAATTAATTCCACAACACTTGCAGATAGCAAGCAATGAGTAACAACATAAGACCTCAGATTTTAGTAGTTTTTCAGACAAACGTAATTTAGACTAAATGGGGCTTCACAATCTTTACGACACCACTGCAAAATGCGTAGATTAATACATAGCCTGAATAGTGGCGCTGATGTGGCTTGTTTACAATTCAACGTGACATTTGAGACGACACATTGCATGTGATAAAATTATTTCTCAGAAATGAAATAAGAACAAAATTGATAACAAAGCGTTTTTGCCTGGTACTGTTTGGCAGTATCATTTAAAATAACTTGTTCCATATTCGGCCACAAATTTCTGGTTCAAACATTTTTTATTTAGCAGAAATGCCCGGTCAGAGTGTCCGACCAGACTATGCTTTTACCTGTCAAAACCTCAAATTTAGCGGACAATTGTCTGATGACCGACTGTTTTTTGCAGGCTTGAGATGACTTGCCTGATCCCTTGTCCATCAGGCAAGTGAGAATGAGAAGTTGCTTGCCTGGCAGGAAAATCTAATTGCACCAGACGACCAGACAGCACTTTTTTCAAGCCCTGAATAACTGGGCCATTACCTCCTCTTACTCTCAATGATTGTATTAAATTGTCTTCAGATCAAAGGAACCTAAAATATTAGTTTACAAATGGGTAACAGTTAACTGAGAAAAAAAAACATAAGGGTGGCTGTGAATAAGGATTGTCAAAGTGGATTGTAATCAGTGAAAACTTGAAAAATTTAACCTGAATTTTCAGAGAGGTGTAAGTTATCCATTTGCCATATTACTAGAAAGTGTTACATTCAGCTGATTAGAGGTATACCATATTATGTAGCTAAAGCATGGCCTGTGTTTTTTTTAAGCCCAAGAGAATAAAGAAGATAACAATGTTACCTGTAAAGAGAGGTAGAGGTCGTCCACCTAAGTTTAACAGTGCACCAAACTCACCAAAACCCACGTCACCTGTTCCAAATGGAATTGGCTACGGGGAAAATGGCAAGCCCAAAAAATTCAAGTACAAACGTGTGATAACAGCTGACTCTCCTGTAGATGAGGTAATAGCTGATGATTTGTTTAAAGTATTTTACTTTAAGGACTTTAAATTCATTATCTAAGGACGGTATGTCTTACATTTAACTTAATGGAGACATTGTGACCTGACAATTTGGTATGTTGGACAACAGAAATATGTGCAATCTTGGTTCAAGCCCTGGCAGCAGGGGTGGTGACACTTCAGGTGTTTTGCTCTCACAGCATCTCTCCTCTCCCAGACGTTTGAATGCATGCCAGTAGTAATACCAACACTTCTAGTTGTTTCATGCTAATTATGAAATGGCAAATTATAGTCAGGATAAGCTCTTGACTATTAGCATCCCTGAGCGATTAATCCAAAGTGCCACTTTGCCTTAAGCTGCATTCTGACAATATATGCTTTGTACAAAGTGTGGAATGGAAAAACTGCAGCAGCCTTTGCAGGGGTTTCATTAAGGGGCCAGGCACAAGGTAAATTGATTTTGCCCACCTGGTTTGACCATCTGGAAAAAGTTTTTCTTATAAAGAAGGTCAGTTCAAAAAGTTTTGCTTGCCTGTGAAAACCAGTTGCCCTCCTTCTGAAAATGTTAATGAAACCTCTGCTTATGTTTTTTTCTAAAATTACCACTGCCAGCCAGTCCAGTTAGCTTGCAACCAGTGATTGTGTTTTGTTTACTGATAGGACGACAATCATGATGAAGTGTGTGCCATATGTAAAGAGAGTGGAGAACTTCTACTTTGTGATACGTGTAATTTAGTTTATCACATGAGCTGTCTTGATCCTCCCCTCACGGCTGTTCCTCCTGGTCTGTGGCTGTGTCCAAAGTGTAAGGTAAGACACTCAACATGGCTGGAAAATTGTCATTAACTTGTACATGATTTTTGTTCAGTCGTATGGCAAGTGATGATAGAGACCAGTTGGGAACATTCATCTCAGAGTTTTAAGCCGCGTCATGCAGTGGTCATGCTACCCTGGGGGCACTCCCAGATGATAAGGTCAGGAATGCTTATCGGAAAATTTGAATTAAACCTCTAAAGGACACCAACTGGGTGTGGCTCAAGCTTTCTTTGATTCTCTAAAAGATACCACTTGAAACTGAATAGGCTCGATTACCAGTTACTGTTCAGGAAAGAAGCCTGCGCTAGTAGACTGAGCTCGAAAGACCAGCAGAAATCAGGCCTAAAAACAAACATAAAT